CCATATTTGTGTTTGCTTAATGGTCTATTTGTGAATCTGCAGAGTACCTGGTACAGACTGAGAGTGGGTTATGTTATATCTTTTTCATGCAAAAATATATCCTAACACCAGATCAGCTTCACCTATTCTAATACAGTATGTGGTTATGTTGTGAAGGCGATTAGTAGGAAGCAGGATAATAACTGCTGATTAAAACTGTATATCATATTGTATCTGGTAGAAGTGAAACATCACCTGACTGGATATCGTTATGGAGAAAAGGCGTTTTGTTTAGTTTTGATTTGTTTACTGACCATTTCAAACAGCACAAATGTGGGATATTTTCTGCACCAACTCATGTGATCAGATGTAATTAAACATCAGGCCTCTTTGTGTGACTGTCTTTGGACAGCAAAGGGGTAATTTATTCCTTTAACTGATGACATTTTCTTGAAATGCTTGAAAGTTGTTGGAGGTTATTATTTCAAAATGTCATCCTTTTGAAAGCTCGAGCTTTTAGAGAAAATATGCAGCGATTCTGTTGTTAAGAAACTGAAAAAGTATATAAGACATGTCTGTGTCAGCCTTTGTTGTATTTTATATCTCTGAGACTTGATGCAATCTTGTAAAAAACTAAGTGTACCTGTACTGTATCCAAAGGGAGCCAGACACTGCTAACAAACTGCACTTGATTAGTTGATCTTCAAGTGTGATGAGCTCTGTGAAAGCAGACGTTTTGACAGTTTGCTGGTCTGGAGCATTAGTTGTGCGTTAACACAATTCCTCAGTCTTCCCAGGAATTCTAAAAAAGACAGAACAGCTTAAGTTTGCAAAATTATGTCTGAGCAAACCCCAAGATTTCTGGAACGATGTCCTTCAAACAGACGAGACCAATGTTTGGTCACGATGCACAGCAGTTCATACCAACTATTACACGGGGTGGAGGAGTGATGATTTGGGCAGCCACAGGACCCGGAGTCGACCAGAAACTCCTCTGCGTAGCAAAGTACTCTGGAGTCACATCCATCTGTCTGAGCCCTAAAGCTTGGCCCAAACGGGACAATGATCCCGAACACAGCAGCAAACCTGCAGCAGAATGGCTGAAAAAGAAAAGTATCAAAGTGTTGCATTGACCCAATCAAAGTCCTAAAAAGAGCTGTGCATAAATCTGAGACGTGTAATTT